AGGACGTACTTTTATACGAGAGGAATATTAAATCATGGTATGAGAAATTATCAGCTGAAAATTCTCCATGGCGTGCAACGTGTTTCTGGGGTAGAGACAATAATAAGATCTAGAAGTGAAGGGGAGCAGTTAGGAAATCTATGAGTGGCGTTTGAGGGGAGAGTAAACAAATTGCAAAATTGTAAAACGCTGCGAAGTGATGCCGACGGGAATCAGATTTTAAAGGCAGGTGTTAAAGTCACCCATGACAATTATATGACTGTAACTGGGGGCAAGTTGCTCGAGTTTTGTTCTCAAAGGAAGAAAAATAGTTTTTTACGCGATGACGGGAATAGTACACACCAAGGAGAAGTACTGTGTGCCGCAGTTTTACTTCTAAGAAAAGGTGCTCACGGCATTCATTTGCGGAGGCTTTGGTGAAACGTCAACAATTGAAAAGGGAATATGAAAACGCAAGTAAATAGCGACACCACCGCCACCACCAGATGCACGATCATTCCTGATGAGATTGAAACTGGGCAAAGAATAAGAAGTAGAAGGAAGACATGGTTTAAGCCATGATTCGGAGACAAGTATGGCATGAATATCCTTACAGTCGAGGGTCGTCAGCATATCTGAAAAACGAGCCGGAATGCTTTGTGCATTTATGTGGACAACATTGAAATTATTGGGAACATCGAAAAAACAAGAACAAGAATACTGACGAAGCTATCCTCATTATCAGAACAACTGAGAGAAGCAAAACTTTCAGATTCACTACTATTATTAAGAAGAGACATCCAAATTAATATAAAAAATTGAATATACTGGGTGGAACAGAATGACCGACACTCCCGAGGTTCCTGGAGAGTACTATTTGTCTTTAATATAACGTAAAAAAAATTATAAGTCTAGGTCAAATAGTTTTAGTGATATTAAATTACAAAGTTTTTGAATAAAAATGAGTGTTTTCAACCCTGAGTCAGCTGTTTTTGGGACGTACTAAGGAAAAGTTTTTAATCGGTCATTGACTTCTTCATTTCTAAAAACAAAATAAACTAGTTTGTGATTTATAAGACTGCTTTCATGCAAATTCTAGCAGTCAATCAATAAACAAGGCAGTCAAAATGCTTAAATCGATTAACAGACTAACAGCCGGTTTATGATTTGAAAAAAGAAGAAAATTTCTACTGCTTATTCTCAATAACCTAAGTTTTTTTAATTTCACAAGTCAAATAGTCTTAGTTTTATCAAACTGCTATCAACTGATCATCAAAAAACCAAATCGGAAACGAAAACTAAGTGATCTTAGTTTGAGACGTTTAACTTTACATACTCAATTAAGCAACCGAGTGTAAAATTTCCTAAATTATTGTAGAGAGATCACTCTAACATTAATCTACGTTATTTTAAAAGAGCAGTTCTCCATAAAAATTGTTTGAATGGGGTGATACTCCTTTAAAACGGGATCGTTAACTAAACTCGATAAACTCACAAATCTTCCAGCGATTCATCATTAACACAAATGAACTTTGTTTTAAAAACATTGAGGAATTTGTTATTAAAATAGCATTTAAAAAGAACTTTAAAAAATGAGTGATATCAAAAGACGAATAAAAAAATATGAACCGAGTTCGTCCCTCAATATCAAAGCCCCGCCCACCCGCCAGCCGCCAGGCGGTTTCATTATTCTGTTGGTATTGTCCGGTCGATCAGTCGCCGCCGACCTTTTGCGCTGGAGTGTTGTTGCGCATCGCCGCCGACGCACCGCTGCGAAGCGTCTTTTTTGTCGATTTTTGTTTTGTTCTAGTGCATTTTTAATTGAATTGTTGTTAATAAGATACTAGAGTGTTCGTCTTGAGTGTTATGTTTAGTTTAGTGAAGATTGTGTTTAGTTTTGTGTGAAATGTGATGTGTTTTGCGCGTGCATACACTGGCATGCAAAAGAGCGTGCTTAGCTGTCTTCAGAGAAGAATTGAACATTTTCAGCATCGACTATCATTAAGATATCGGTAAATAATTAAATTAAATTAATGTATTTCGCGGTCCGTTGTAATCTGCGCACAATCGATATTGCGCATGCGCGTTAAAGGGCTGTCAACACTTAGAAATTTAAAATTTTTACTCCATTTTTACACCTCCTCTATTTTTAAATATTTGTCAAATAAAATGAACGTTTGCATGTAACCTAACTTGAAACTTTCGGCTGTGTCGGTCATTTTGTTCCTCCCTGTATAAAAAAAATAAAAAAGTAAATAAATAAAATAAAATAAAACAAATATATATTTAAATGTATATAAATATATAATATGTATGTATATATGAATAAACTTACTTAAATAGACAAAATAACAACTTTGCTATGCCAATGCCCACCCGCTAAGAGTTAAAGATTGTAATTTCTACTAGTTAATTAGATACTAACTTAAAAAACTACTACTAACTTTAAATTACAATTTGAATAATCCACAAAATGCTAACTAATAATACAGAAAATTAGGACGTATAAGCTAGGATTCCTTTGCGTCAAAAATATTATTAATAGACTCAACCTTGTTGACAACTGTGTGTTAAATTGACAATTTACATATCACTAAAAGTCTAAACAAAACAAGCAAAAGCCTAAAGTATAAGCAAAGCAGGATTATATTGGCAAAAATAGCATAAAGCGTTAAAAATTAGTAGTGACGAACCCAAACATCTATTTCTTCGCGACAGCAGTCCTGAAACCGTAATTACCGACAATGGAGTTCAAGGATCAGAGTTTCGCGAACTAATGGATCGGTATAACATCCCCAGGGTCCATTATGGCCCGAGATATGCGCCTCAAGTCAATCTAGTCGAGCGATATAACAAAACTGTTATGACGGCGGTCGCGTCTTACGTAAAGGACGACTACCGATCATGGGATGCGAATCTGCACAAGATACAGTTCGCATTAAACAGCGCTGTTAATGAGTGCACAGGGTTTTCGCCTTTCTTTTTAGTGCATGGTAGGGAACCGATAATAAACGGTTAATTTTATAAACAAACGCCCGGTGGTGATTATGAGGTGACTGTGCCTAGAGAGGAGTATGCGGGTAAGTTTGGCATTTTAAAAGAGGTTTTCGAAAAGGTTCGCGAAAGGATCTTAAAATCGCATCAAGCTAACACAAAGTACTACAACACCCGCCATAGGCCTATGACCTTGAAGGTTGGCCAGGTGGTGTGGAAACAGACTTTTGTGCAAAGCGATGCTGCTAAGTTCAAAGCCTCCAAACTCGCACCAAAATATGAGAAGTGCGTAGTGGCTAAAGTTTTGTCTCCACTTGTCTTCGAGTTGGCAGGAATAGATGGAAAGCCACTAGGCACTTGGCATATTTCCAAGATAAAGGCCAGTTGTTAACCTACCATGTCGTAGGCCACATTTTGTGTGTCAGTGTCTCTTAGGAGTACTGACGATGCCAAGGCGAACCCCTATTTTAGTTTTTAAGCTTTGTAGGGTTATTTTAGTTTAGCTACGTTAGCTTAGTTTGTGCCAGTATAAAACTGTGTTTAGTATAAAACTGACAAGTTTTTTTTTTTTTCGGTTCACTAACTCTAGTGGATTTAATCTGCGAAGAGGGTTAGCCTATTTTCAACCTGAGGGTTTCACCCGACGACGGTTTGTTTTTTTTATTGGTTTAACCAATTATTTGTTGAGGCTAATTTATAGTACAATAAAAAAGAAAAAGGGAAAAAATTTTTTTTTTTTTAGTTGCTTTGGTGACGGCCATGGTTGGTTTTAAAACCATGCCGTAGGCCACAACTTTGTATGTTGGTGTCTTGCTTACCAAGACCCAGCGATGCCAAGACAACCCCTAGGTTAGGTTTTAATTTTTGTTTTTTGTTTTATGTCGATTTTATTCATTTCTACCCAAATGCATAGTCCATATTTTTTTTTGGTACAGACTTTTCAGTTCTGTATATACCTCCAGCAGGGTTTTCTTATTAATAGTGACGCTGAGGGCAGCGTAGTTTCTCAATAGGTTCGAAACTTTCGTTGGTGGGGGTGTATTGTAACGTTGCAAAATATTGCAGTTACAAAATATCGATTAGTATCAATAAAAGATTTTTGATAGGCCAAATAGCAAGCTCCAGTGCCATTAAATTGAGTCTTGATAGAGGACGAAGAATGACGTTGAGGTTGCTTTTTGAAGGAACGAATCTAAAGAAATAGATCGTCTTTTCTCTTTTTTTCAAATTTCAAATAAAGAACAGGAAATGTATATTTGGATAAATCCTGATATTTAAATTAATTACATGGTAAGTAGATTATTCCATTCTAGGAATCTTCATGCGATGGTCAAGCAATTACTTGTATTCTCGCAATCACATTTTCCTCATGATCTTACAGGTTGGCGGAATGGGTTGGCGGAGAAGATTTTATTTGTTTAACATCTTTAAATAAAATAGCCGATCCTATTTTATTGGCACTCCGCCCAGGGCTGTAGCTAGAGTCAAATTTGAGGAAGGGCAGCATTGGTTATAGGTATAAAAAAATTATCATAATTGATCTGCTCCGAAGCACGGGCTACTAAATAAATCACCATGTATATAACTAACCTCTAGGTCAATAGCTATTTGTAGACAAATAATTTCTGTGACAGAACATGAGCATGGATCTAACAACTATTAGATCCTCAATGATGAAGAACAAGTGAACAAGATGTAGAGATCCACGTCTGAGTAAAAGTGAGGTAATAATTAATGATTGGATAGGGTTATATGAGTAAATAGATACGACATTTAGATCATATTGTTTCTGCAAACTTATTATAATAGTTAAAATAATAAAAAAAGTAATAATAATAATAAAAACATTTAAAACAGTTGAATTCTACGATTTGCCATGTTATTAAAAATGTGAAGAACTTCGTTCAAATCAACAGATTTTGTTCTTTTTTTTCATAGGCCAAAAATACCATATCAGCCATTCTCTCGTGACCCATTGATATTCTTTGAGGCCTATTGATTGCAGTTAAAGTTGAAAACGTAGATTCTCACACTGCAGTGCTACATCCTATGGTCACCACAGATGCAAAAAGTTCATATGTATCGTTGAACGCCTCTCGTTGCCTGTACAAAACTTGCAATGTATTTTCCATTTTATCCTCGTTACGACTCAAGTAAGCTTTAACCACACTAGCCTCTTCTCTCGATGGAATTTTCAGACCTGAAAAATTAGTTAAAATTGTATATTGAACATGACTAGTTATTTTGATTATTAAATTTTTCAAACTTACCCAAATTTATCAGTGGAACCATTTTATCTACATCCAACTCATCGAGACTGGCAATCGAATTGATTAGATCATCGTTGTCCGAAAACCTTCTCTGTAATTCAGCAATTAGTATGTCCAACGTTTCGAAATACTCAGACTTAAATGGCTCGTCATTCTCTTCTATATTTTGTCTGGCGGAGGAACAGGAGGGGCCATACGTCAAATAGTCATCCAATCGATTTGGTTTTTTTACTTGCCTCTTTGAGGTCTGTGTCCTATTTCCAGATTCGCCACAGTCGTCGCTTGTTAAAAACTTAGCTTCTTCCAGAATTTGATTGTACATTTGATTTGATCTTAATTTTATAATTTCATCTTCGAAACACTTTATGATTGTTATGGCGTCTTTCAATCCTGCGCGTCGGGCTTGCAAAGCTGCGTCTGCAGGTTGTAGCGTGGATAAATTTTTTTTGGCCACAACCATGGCCATTCGGAATTCCAGATCAAGCATGACTTTTTTAATACCGATACTCTTGGCGACGTCATCACCGTTGAATCTGTCATTTTTAATTTCGTTTAAAGTCTGCAAAATCGATGAATAATTATCGTATATAACTTTTGTAACTGCCAAATGTCCAGACCAGCGTTGTTCGAGGAGTCGGCCAATCCTTTTCCACAATATAAGGCAGCTATTTGCCATGATGAAAGAATTCATGTAACATGATGCATTGGTCAAAAAATAAACGAATGAAACTCATTTCTGAGATAGTTCTGATGACTATTAAGTGCAAGCGATGGTTATAGCAGTGGACGTAACGAATTTTTCGGCCCAATTTATTTTCTATTCTAGTCGCAACTCCTGAAACTTTCCCACTCATTACACTTGCGCCATCATAGCATTGGCTAAGCATACAAGAAGGGTCAATGTTATTTTCCGTAAGGGTATTTAATGTTAATTCCGTGAAATTGGCTGCATCAAGGTTTTCAGTAGTCTTAACCATCAGCAACGGCTCATTGACGACACCATCCTTCACGTAACGTATTGCTAATGCAATATTTTCGCGGTTATTTTTATCTCTTGTCCCATCTTCCATTAGAGTAAACCATTTCACGTCAGATTCATTAATATCTTTGACAATGGAACTTCGTACTGTTTGAACCATTGCTTGAATTATTTGATTTTGAATTTCAGGTGAACGATATGTTGCGTTTTGTGGTAAATGAGTGAGAATCTCGTTCAAATTTGGTTTTTTCATACATGTAAATAAATTCTGAAATAATCCTTGTTCTTTTTCTTCCTCCAAAATATAATTTCCCCGCAAAGCTAATTCGTTGACAATTAGAAATTGTATTACTTCAATGATAGACTTCACGTAATACCTATATTTTTCTAATACTTTTTGATTTATTAACGTTTCAACACTGCTAGATGTAGATATTCTTTGTAATTTTTCCTGCCACATCGACATAGCTTGAATATGAGAAAAAGATTTTTCATGTTTTGGAAAACCAGTTTTAGAATCAGTGGCATTTTTCCAATTCCTAAATCCTGTGGAAGTGTAAGAAGTCTGTTTGCTTCCATGAGGTAAAAATTGCTGGCATGGATAGCAAAAAGCAGCATCTTTCTCGACAGAATACTGCAACCATTTATAACGCTTAAACCAATCGAAAACAAAGGCCCTGTTATGGTGTTTTGGATATGTGTCTAAAACAACTTGTTTTATTGAATCTCCGATTTGTGCAATATCAGAAGGAATACCATAGCTAACATTCACAACATGTGCAGACGAACTTGTTGCCATGGAACTAGTAGTAGCGATTGTATTTTGTGCTTCCATCTGTTTTGAGCACTGAGGTTCTTCGTGGACAATTTGTTCTTCAACTCTTCGTTTTTTTCCAAAGAAAGCCCGTATATCCATCGCGAAATCAATGAATCTTCAATTTATAACAATAAAAATAACAAGTGTAACGAATTATACTAAAACGTTTTTTACTAAAAACACTCTTAACCGTACACTTCACTTAACCAAACTACAAACAATCATAAAATAGTTTATGATTATGTTCGTTTTTAAAGGGATTCCCCGTACCATAGATTGCAATATAATATAGTGTCACAGATATTATAATTAAATAGACCCATCCCTTCACGTGATGGCGCGTCAAATGCCATCTATAGACAGAACAAAGAATTATTATAATGTGAAATGAATGACAAAAACTGTGGTACGTTCGGAAAGTTTAGATCTCAAACGTAAAGTCTCAATAGTTTTTGGTATTTATAAGGTAGGGCAATCTGATTTCAAGATAGGGCATTGCCCCAAATGCCCCCCCCCCCCAGCTACGGCCGTGACTCCGCCGTAAGTACAGTTTTTAAATAAAACGATTTGTGAGTTTTATAGTTATGAGAAACATATGGTAATCCATGACATTTTGTTTCAGATGGGAATTTATAAAAATTTATAGAATCCAAAAAGATTTAAGTTTAATTATATATCCATAATGAATATATAAAATGATAGATGGAAATATCATGTGGCAGAGTACAAGAAGATAATATTTCCAGCTTTTACATTTCATTTTATAGATGGTAGATCTATAAAAAGACGTTTCAAATTTATATATACTGACTAGCTTTCGCTTGATTGCCCCGGGCTGCGAGCAGCCCGGGGAGGTAACGAGTAGCTGGTGGAATCGGGGCGGTGGGATTTCAAGTCCGCCTATTGTTATGTCGGGTTTACAGTTTGAAAATGCGCAGAAAAGGTCAGTTAGTTCTATCTTCAAATAAAAGGTGTTAAAGGACACAAAGCATCATACATCAAAGAAAAAGTGTTGCCAGTTGACACTTAATAGAAAAAGGAATATTCAGTCGAAAAACGCAAGCAAAACTTAAAATAAATTTTATATAGATACTTAAAATAAGTTTTGTCTTTTTATTCTCTTATTCTTATTTATTAGTAAATTACTGTATAATATTAAAAAACAATCAAACATATATTTCCATCAGTGTTACTATCATTAATTAATCAATTAAATGTCAATTGCATTATTACATTACATTATATATGTAAGAATTATTATTTAACCGATGTCGTGGCCAGATATTAGAATAGATCAATTCACGACGCGATGGGGTTTTAAGTCCGCCTTCGTTTCAGAATTTGAGTTTTTCGATTTTTTTTGTTATGTTTGTTTTATAGTTTGAAATCGCCTACAAAACGTTAGTGAGTTCTGTCTTCAAATGAAAGGTGTTTAAGCACCATACATCAAAGAAAAAGGGTTGCCAGTACACGTCTAACAGAAAAAGAAATATTCAGTCGAAAAACGCAAGCAAAACTCTAAATAAATTATAGTCTCTTATTCTTATTCAATAACAAGTTTATATTTAGTATATGATAAAGGATCGAGTAGATATTTCCCCAAGTGTTACCTTAACTAATACACCAAATAAATAAATGTCAAATTTCAAACTCATACCTACGTAGAACATTTTCATTTTGAATATCAAAAGAACATGTTTTCTCAATAATCTAAAAGTATAGAAAAATATATTTTAAGTATTAAATATCGTGTCAAAAATTGAATTCTCTTTTCTCCATACTTACCTATGTGAAAGTACATACCTACACAAATGGTCCATATATACACGCTATAAAGATCCCGAATTGTGAAGTCCATCGAAATCAAAATTGAAATAAAAATGGTCACAGCATGGCTGGATTGCTCAAAGTCAGCCTTACACGATTATCTTTAAATATTATAAACCAAATGTTACCATCAACAAAAGCGATTCTTTTCTGGCTTTGTTTTTCATACACTAACCTAACCTAACCCATATGTTATAACAAACCTATACAAGTTTTTGTTGCTTTAAGTACTTATTGTAAAATTCTTGAGCATAAACGAGTCGCTTGTGGAATCGGAACGGTGGGATATTAGGTCCGCCTCTTGTTATGTTTACAGTTTGAAATTGCCTAGAAAATGTTAGTGAGTTCTATCTTCAAATGAATTATGTTTAAGTACACAACGCACCATACGTCAAAGAAAAAGGGTTGCCGGTTTACACTAAATAGAAAAAGAAACATTCAGTTGAAAAACGCAAGAAATACTAAAATAAAATTTGGAATAGATCGGCTTGTAGTCATTTATTCTCTTATTCTTATTCAAAAGTAAGTTAATATTTAGTTAATACAGATATTGAAGTTTTAAGACCGCCTCTTGTTATGTTGGGTTTACAGTATAAAATTGCCTAGAAAAAGTTAGTAAGTTCTATCTTCAAATAAAAGCTCCTAAATTACGCAATACATCATACATAAAAAACAGATTGCCAGTTTATACACAATATAAAAAGAAATATTCAGTTGAAAAACGTATGAAAACTTAAAATAAATGTTGTATAGATCGCCTTGTAGTCTTTTTTTCTTATTCAATAGAAAATTTCCAAAAAATCACAGTATCAAAATAAAAACTGCTCATAAAGTTCTATAAAGTAAAAACCGTAAAAAATTATACATTTTCTAGCACACTTATAAGCACATTTGTTTCAGAGATTCAGAGTAACATTTGGTCACAGTTCCTTAACCGATTGACCAGGTCTCCATTTATTATGGCTCGCTTCGCTTGTTTTTTTTTTTTTGTTTTTTTCGCAGTTCTAATCTAACCGATTGACCAGGTCTCTATTGATGGTGTCCTTTATTGCTCTCTTCGCTCGCATTTTATTTTAGTCATGGTTCTAACCCTACCAATTAACCAAATCTCTCTTAACAGTTGCTCCTTATGGCTCACTTCGCTCGCTTTTTGTTTTAGACACATTGCTAACATAATCGATTGATCAGGTCTCTCTTAATGGTCTAGCATTATGGCTCGCTTCGCTCGCTGTTTATTTTGGTCACAGTACTTAAAGCAATTGACCAGGTCTCCATTTATTATGGCTCGCTTCGCTCGCATTTAATTTTAGTCAAAGTTCTAACCTTACCAATTAACCAAATCACTCTTAATAGTTATTCTTTAGGGCTCGCTTCGCTCGCTTTTTGTTTGAGTCACAGTGCTAACATAACCGATTGATCAGGTCTCTTTTAATGGTCTCGTATTATGGCTCGCTTCGCTCGCTCTTTATTTTGGTCACAGTCCCTTAAACGATTGACCAGGTCTCCATTTATTATGGCTCGCTTTTTGTTTTATTCACAGTTCTAATGTAACTGATTGATCAGATTTCTATTGGTGGTGTTCTTTATGGCTCGCTTCGCTCGCATTTTATTTTAGTCACAGTTCTTACCTTACCAATTAATCAAATCTCTCTAATTGGTCACTCTTTATGGCTCGCTTCGCTCGCTTTTTGTTTTAGTCACAGTTAATCCAACACACTAATCCAACCGAATGACAATGTCTCGCTCGCTTTTTTTTTCTGGCGAAAATATTGGATTTTTTTTCTCACCACGTAAAGATTGAGTTAAGATACACAATCGGTCTGTATATGCTATAAAGCTCCCGAGTCGCCAGCTCGGTCAGAATCATTCTGAAATTTATATGGATTGTAAAAAAATGATTTAATATTTTTCATAATAATATACATGAAACTTTCTCAAAAATCCCAGTATCACAAAATGTTCAAATTTTTTTTCATCTGGCAACACTTCAGCTGAAAACTTATTTTTTGTTAAAATTATTCGGAAAAATATTACCAAAAACGCTCAAATCAGCTCTATAAAGTGAAAGTCGTAAAAAATGATCAATTTTCTAGATATAATGGTCGCAGTTTTAGCCGCCATCTCGAATTTTGTAAATTTAATCCCATACCGGTGTAGCACACCTATTAGCACATCCTACGCAGTTTTTATTATTTTCCTAGCGGCTATAATGACTGCGCTAGAGTCCAAAACGTGAATAGTGAGCATTAAATATTCAACCCGCCGTAGCTGCCGGGGTTGCCAGGTAGTAGTAGACGATGAAAAATATCAAGTGTGATTTCGGGATGTGCCCTCATTCGACGGATACCAATTTTCAAGTTCTAAAATTGTTCCTTTGACAGTTACACTTTTTGGGGTAAATCTCAAAAACTACCCTAAAATCGGGTAATTTTTTTCCACCATATGAAAGAGTCTATAAAGATGCACAATCGCTCAATACATGCCAAATACCTTCGGGGTTGCCAAGTCGGTCAAAATCGAGGTTGAAATTCAAACGTTGTTTGCTCTCAGTGTTGCCAGTCGATCGTTCTATTTTTTCCATCGGGTATCTTGAAAAGTTAAAATCAAAATATTTACATCAAAAAAGTTCAAAAATTCGACAAAAATTGTTTCCTCAAAACTATCATAAAGTATCAAAAATTTTCAAGATTTTTTTTCACCAGGCAACACTTTAGTTACTTGCCTAAAAAATGTTTCCCTGGAAGTACTCTGACAAATGTCGCCAAGTGCGTCAAAATCGGCTCGACGTGGTGACGATACCCAATTTTTCGGATAAAATGGCCGCTGGTTTGGCCGCCATCTTGAATTTCGAAAATCCGGCTCCGTACCGGTGTGGCCAACTCGATAGCGCGTTCGATGCACTTTTTACCATTTTCCTAGTGGCAATACTGACTGCGCTAGAGTCTACAAAGTAAAAAATGGGTGAAATTTTTCAAATCGCCACATACACCAGGATTGCCAGGTGTCGACGACGAAAATGGCCAAATATCATTTATGGGAGCATCCTCCGTCGAAGGAATGCATTTTTGAAATCCCAAAACGGCTCCTTCTACTTTTCAACTTTTTGGGGTAAATCTCCGAAATTACCCTAAAATCGGGGAAACAATTCACTTCATTCGAAAGAGCCAGCAGAGACTCATGACCGCTCCATACAAGGCGAAGAGCTTCGATGTTGCCATGTAGGCTAAAAGTGCGTTTGAATTTTTCGAAAAAGTGAAAAAATCACAAAATGG